GTTTGTGCTTATTTTTAATTTTAAGTAAGAAGATAAATCTAGTCCCTATGAATTGAACAGTTAAAGTTAGCTTAAATGTGCATGCTTATATATGCACATTGTATCATAATTTATTATTGAACCATCTACTTTTAACATAAAAAATTCTCTGTAGACACAGAAAGGCAAAACCACATCTAAAAAGATTTCCATTTTCACTGTTTATTTAAAAAAATACCCATAAAATCTGCCCCAAGGTACCACTTCACACTCACTCAGTTGATGTTAATAATAAAGTTTCAAATTACAAATTTTGGCAGCTATTTGGATCTCAAAGATACAAAATAGTATAGTAATGCAAATATTTTGCTGTTGGTCAAGAAAGAAAGGCATTATCAGTTGACTCACAACCCTCATATTTAGGGTAGAAATAACACAAATGACCATTTATGAGGAATGAGTGCATTGTGCTATTAAAATGTGAAAATGAATTTTGCAGCAAAGAGAGGAGGAAGTACTGAAACACAGTGAATTTAGATGAATGTCCAAGATTTTATGCCAGTTCAGGAGTGCAGTGCCACCTCCTTTCTTTGCAGCAAAGTGATGTTGCCAGGAGTAGTTGTGTCTTGTTGTTGTGAAAAACTCTAATAAACCATTTTAAATGTCATATTCTGTAGGTCTTTTAAAAGTTTTGATGAATACCTGTCAATTTGAAATATATCTGAGTATACCTAGAAAATCTAACTAACAGAACTATTTGAGTGACTAAATCTGTATTTAAGTATATGTTGCATTTTAAATGAGCTGTATAAAAACAATATTTAAACAAGAGTAGAAATATAATATAGCAAAAACATAAATTTTATCAGTAAAGCAAAATCTATAGCAATGCAAAGTATTCATTTCTACAACATATTCCATTTTTCTTTAGATAGAGACTGACTGTGATCATTAACCATTTATTACCAACCCCATTTAAATGAAGAGAAAAATTTATAACACTATGTGGGAATGTTGGCATAGTTCTCTCTAAACTGCTTCATTCTAGATTATATATATATTATTATTCTGGGGTCTTTGATGAAGGTGAAGACAGATAGATATGGTTATGGTTTTTCTTACTAATGATAAAAGATATTGTATATAAAAGTTTAGACTCACAAAGATACATGATAGATGATAAACTAATTTCATTAAATTTTTCCAAATATTAGAGGGCTAAATGTAGTACCTATAATTCTTGCTTGATAACAGTTTTGTCATATATAATTTTACTATGTTAAAATTGAAACCTTCCTTTTTATTTAGACAGAAAAGTGGAGATGTGGGGATGTCCTTCTCTATGCTCTGAATATCTGTTTCTCTTATTGGTTGATGAATACAGCTGCTCCAGCTAATGGAGCTAGGATCAGCCCATTTAGCCTGATGTAGAGGTAAGAAGCTAGTGGCCAGCTTCTTTGACTTTCTGATATTAGCTTGAAGTTTGAAACTCAGTAACAGTCTCTGGGTCTTTACTTCTCATTTTACAACTGACTTAAACCATCTCTGATAAACATTTTGGTGTCCAACAAGCCACAAAATACACAAACAATAAAATAAATTTATATTAATATTTTACCTGCTTCATTTTAATCAGGTAACAATCAATAAAGTCCCGAGGGTTTGCATCATCCAATGATTCCTGATGTTCTTTTATTTTCTCCAAAAGGTAACTTCTGATATAATTGAAATTTTTTGTTATTGTGTGATGACTTCCTGGACAGTAGTCAATTAGTGAAGAGAAATTATTGCAGACCTACAAAATCAAAGAAAATTTTGAGAATATGTACATTTTTACTTTTAGTGGTGTGTGTGGAATGGGTATGCATGCATACATGTGTGTGCCATGTATGTGTGGGTGCCTTGGAGGCCAAAGATATCAGATCCCCAGATGCTAGTGGTTTTGAGCCACCTAACATGCATGATAAAAATTGGACTCAGGTCCTTTGGAAGATTACAAGATAAGCACACACTCTTAACCACTGATCCATATCACCAGCACTTGCCAAAAAAATTTTAAAGGAACAGATTTGAGGAAATACACATATCCATGATACTTATCAAGACCTACTTGGGTTTATAGATTCTAACATGAATAAAAACTAGTGTCCCACATGAGAAAGAGGTGTTTTATTTCATGTATGCAGCAATTCTCTGTGAAAGTAGAGAGAAATAGGGGGGATTCCTGCCCAAATCATCAAAGATCATAATCAAGTTTCCACATTCACAAATCATTTTCAGTATGAAGCATATTTATGAAACTTGACTGATGGCTTATTCCTTTTATTCCCTCAATTATGAAACAGGATATGATGTGAATAATTGTCATTTATAGGTCTTAGATGACAGCAGCAGTGAAGAGAGACAAGCATCTTGATTTATAGCAAAACCAGTAGCACATGCAGTTTGAATGCCTGTAAACTCCAGGTATATGACATGGAATGAAGTGAGTGATGCTCAGAGTGGCTTTGAAAGCAAAATACAGCACAGCCCTTAGGGGTTTCTCTATGATCACAGCCATTCTTGTTAAACTTGCTTTGTATTTATTCTGTGTGTCCCCCACACTGTGCACCTCGATCCCATCTACTTCTGCATACCCTCACAACTACCCTCAGCCCTTACAAGACCCCCCCAATAAAATAAAATAAATTTAAGAGAAAAAATATCATCATGAAAGTTGCAGTGCGACGTAGAGTATCAACAATAAACCCATATTTATCCGTATATCTTTACTTGCAAGTGTTCACTGCATGGAGTCATTGATCTGGCTCGAGGCCTCTGATTTCTATTACAATGTCAATACCTGGTCTTTACTGGGAGTTCTCTTGGATATCCTTTTATTACCCTGCACTGTGAAGATCTTGTAGCCCTGTGCATGCAGGACCAGCCCCTCCATGTGCTCCAGCAGATCACAGGTGGGGTTGATGTTGCTGTGCGTCTACTCATAACCCTAGTTCTGAGTCTGGGTAGATGCTGTGATGGCCACCTCTCCAACTGTCTACTTAACTCCTGACGAGGGTGAGCTCTCTGGCACTGCCCTGGCTAATTCACCACTTATAGCAACGAGCTTCTTTCACGCCCCCAGATTTGGCTCTTGCACATGTGCAATATTAGTGGGAGATCTACTGTGCTACCCAGGCAATGTGCAGGGGCCACTCTTCCAAATCCTGCAGCTGGTGAAGGGCAATGACAAATATCGCACTCTGATGAGTCAGGGCCAGCCCTCCTACCCGCCACAGGCTTCAAGGGAGGGGAGGGAATTGCTAGCCCACACATACCATCAGAAGACAGGTGAGGGGAAGGACCAGATAACCCATGTTCACATCCTCTAGGCTGGTTCACACTCAGCCCCTGACCCAAATCAATGGGGTCAATAGGGTCAGCTCTGTTCTGCTGCCCA